TTCATCAATTTCACTTACGGGCTATACCTACAAGAATTAAAAGCAGAGACTCGAGGACGTACTGTATAGCACAGAGAACTATACTCAATATTTCATAATCATCTATAAGGGAAAAAGTCTAAAAAGAACACAGACACACGTATATGTTTATATATATCATATTTATATAATATACATACAACTGAATCACTATGCTGTACACTTGAAACACAACACTGCAAAATCAACTATACTTCAATATTTAAAAATTTAAAAAGCAGGTATTTGTACATCAATATTCATAGCAGCATTATTCACAACTGCCCCAGGTGGAAGCAAAGCATGTATCCATCAACATATAAATGGGGAAACAAAATAAGCACACAATAGAGTATTGTTTATTTTCACAAAGGAAATTCTGACACTTGTTGCAACAAGATGGACCTTGAGGATGCTACATTAAATAAAATAACCTGGTCATAAAAGGACAAATACTGTTTGCATCCACTTATATGAGGTACTTAAGAGCGGTCAAACACTCAGAGACAGAAAGTAGAATGATGGTTGTCAGGGGCTGAAAGGAGGGTGGAATTGGTGAGTTACTCAGTTTTGCAAGATAAAAAATGTTCTGCAGATGACGGCAATGACTATAGCACAATAAAGAGAATGCCCTTAATGCCACTGAACTGTACACTTAAAAATGGTTAAAATGATAAATTTTGTTATGCATATTTTATCACAACTAAAAAGGATTAAAAAAAAAAAAAGAAAGCATCTTATTAATCTCAACAAATTGTTCAGAAGCTAGAAAGCCCAACCCCTTAAGCTACTCATGTCATCTTACAACTTCAAAACATTTCTCCAGGCCATCCATTAACTAACATTACCAAATACATCAAAGGCAAGCTTCAATAACTTAGAGAAACTGAGGCATTCTGCAATTAAAAATGTAAGTCAAAAGGAAGACAGGAGACAATAATAAGAATCAATAGTCACAGTGCAAAAACCTAAGGGATCCTCCTCCTTGTTGTTGAAGAATTAAAAGAAATAAAAAGGGCAAAAATACAGGACAAGAAAAGACATAATTACAATCACCACAAGAAAACGTTGGTAAATAAAGAACAATTCTCTTTCATTGTAAAAATTCAGTGCTACACAGTTTTAAATCATTAAATATGAAACTACTTAAATCTAAATAAAAATCCAACTCACGTTCAACCTAGCTCAAATGCCAACTGGCCAAAGTGCATTAAAGGAAAGAGCTTAAATATTCCTTCTAACAACCAAGTCACTAGCTTTGGTTTGCTTCTTTTATACCCAAGGAAACCAAAACCTTCTCTTTTAGATCACCAGGTCTTTCTTAAATGCCATAATTTATATTACGCCATTTGACAAGGTATCTATCACAACCTTCTGACCCCAGATAGTAGTTAATTAATCTCCAGAACAACAGGAAATAAGCCTTCCCGGAAATACCCTGTGTGATGACTTGTTTGACGCCTGGTTTCTCCCACTGGACCTGTGCTGTCTAAATATGGCAGCCACCGGCCAATGCAGATCCTGGAAAGTACTGCATTAGAGAAGTTCCATGAAGGCAGGAAATTTCTGATCTTTTCACCAGTGTACATCTCCCCTAGAAACTATCAAACAGGAGGCATTCGGTAACATGTGAAATAAATATTCAACAGCTAATGCAGCAGATGGAGAGGACTGAAGAGAACTCAGTCTTAGAATAGTGTATATAAATGGAGGGGGTTCCCTGGGACTGTAGACTCCCAGAGATTTAGGGTCAGATTTAGAAGAGCTAAAAGAAAACAAATGAAATTCCCAAAAGAAGTAGCAAAGAATTTAACATTCCCAAAAAGTGGACCTTGCTACCCAAAGTGTGGTCGACCCATGGGCCAACAGCACCTAGGAGCTTGTTAGAAATGAAGAATCTCAGTCCCTAACCCAGTCCAACTAATTTAGAATCTGCATTTTAAGAAGCAATTCTAATGTAAAGTATGAGAAGCACCAGTCTATTTCTCTATCTTTCCAGATTGAGCAAGTATTCTTCACTCAGCAAGTTTGGAAAAAAAACACTGCACACAACTACATGTAAATCGACAATAACCTTCATAAAAATTTCAATTAAAAGAACAATTGTAACAAACTTTGAAATCACACAGTAAGCTTTTCTGTATCCCTTCCCTATCACCTCTACCACATCCCCATAAGAAAATATCAGACACACACAGCATCTGTGGGCTCCACATACAAACACACACACTCACAACAAAACATTACGGACACATAGTATGAACAAGGGCACTTAACAAACACAAGGGACCCCAGAAGAATATATCTACTTTCACTAAGAATTTTAAGCTCTATTTCAGTAATAATTTTTAAGTGGCAGGATTGAAAGCTACATTGCTATAACAAAACAAAAGTTCTGGTTATGAGAAAATTATCCTGATTATTCAATAAATCTACTTGAAACAAAATTACTTTACATGGAGTCTGGGTCTCACATTTTTCAGGAATGTGTTGATACTCTATTTTTGTTCTTAATAAATTACAACTATTCAAACTAAAAATGTGTACCAAATGTAGTATCAATATAACCTAGACATAAAATTCAAGTTGTTTCTGATACTTTATCTGGAAGAAGGAAATTTTTTTTACCCCTTTACCCTTGGTCTTGGGAAACTAAGCTGATTAGAAATGTAAGAACTTTCTAGGTATTTAGGATTATGATTACTTACATTTGTCCCTTAAAAATTTTAGGTACTTCCCTAATCTTCTACCATGACCTTTTTTAATACCTTCATATATAATAAAAAATGATTATTTTAAAAGATTTTTCTTTAAAAAATAATAGGGATTGAAAAATGCTCTCAAAGTCTTCTTGAACTTTACTATAAAAATACAATTAGACTGAAACTTACTAATTTCCCTCATATTAAGCTGCATTTGAACAGGTTAAAAAGCACAGTGGAAAAGGGCACAAAATAAAATCTCAAGGAAAAAAGCCGAATTCTGAGTTAGGTTTATTGGCCTGGTCTATTGGGGAGTTTTCCATTCCTGCGCTAGAACATACAACGGGTTGTATCTATTATCACTTTTGGTGACTGCAGAAGGATTTTTCCCCAGCTAAAGCTTTCTGGCTCCCCTGAGTTTTGCAGACACTTGAGTATAGCAGACACACCCTAAGGTGACCCCCAATAATCAGATACATCCATATACTAGCCTCTTCCCTTGAGTTTGGACAGACTCAGACTTCCTTCTAGTCTACAAAATCTGGCAAAGGGGACAGGCTGTCACTCCCATGATTACACGGTATCATTAAAAACCCCAGCTTAGTCGGCTCCAGTGAGATTCTCCTGCTGGCTTTGGAGAAATAAGCTGCCAGCTTCGGAAAGATCTATGAGAGGGCCACATGGGATGATCTAACAATCGAGACAGGTGCCTGCTAACAGCCAGGAAAAAAAAAAAAACACGGAGATCTCAGTCTACTACAAGGAACTGAATCACTGTCAGAAACCACGCGGCGCAGAAGGGAAGCCGAAGCTCCACAAAGCACAGCTCTTCCGACAGCCCGACTGCAGCCCATGAGATCCTGAGCAGGGAACCAACCCGGCGAAATCAGACCCAAACTCCTGACTCAAGAGAACCGTGCGGTTACAGAAATAGAACATCTGTTGTTCTAAGCTGTTAAATTTGTGATACAATAATTTGTTACTCAGAAATAGAAAACTTCAGTATTGGTTACTTGAGTACCGGCAGACACTTACTTAACTAAGAACTGATTATTAGGATGAAGGCTAATTCCTGGAATTGTACTGTCTTATCTTTCCAATATGGAAATACATTATCAAACTTTAACAATCCCTATAATCTCACATGGCCATTCACATTTTGGTTTGTGGGATTCCAATGCATTTTTTGTGGATTTCCAAGTTTTCTACCATGTTCTTATTACCTTCTTTCCCTGAGATGCACTTTTACCCTTTAAATGTAGATACCACAGGTTGAATCCCTATTCTGGCAAGTCACTCAGATGCCAAAAAGTTGCTACTGTCTACATTCCAATAACCTGAGAAAGGGCAGCGAGTGGAGCAGAGCTAATCTCCAAGTTCTAGCTAAGAAAAAAGGACAGAATAAAGACAGCAAGAATAGGCTTTTCACTGTTAATTTCTCCACCAGCCCTCTCCAAAACTGTCAGATTGTTAAAATGAACCAATAATGGACAATGGTCAAGAAAGGTACTATTTTCCACTTACGAAAAAAACAAAGGCAAATTTACAGAAATTAGTTCAAAAGTAGACATACTGCAACCAAGTAGAAATTTGGTATTATTCAGCACAAAATGTGCTAAGAAGAAGTGAACAAAATCTGTCATCAATGCCAGTCATTTATCAAAGGATACCCCACACCAGATCTGCCATGCTCATGATCCCTCTTAGGCACCCAAGCCACTTTCAAATCCTTCCTTTGATTTCCCAGATATTTCAAACTCAGGAAAGAGGAGGTCCAGAGGGCTGACACAGGTATTCCAATCACTGGAAAAGACTGTGTCTCACGGTAAATTAAATTAGCAGCCTAATTTACAGTGCTTACAACGTGACTACCAACTAGTCTCTGTAAGGAGCAACTCCCAACAGCAGACTCATTCCCAGACTGTCATTGAGGTAAGCAAAAGGCCACAAGAGACCCCGTCCACAGCCCTACTAACACAGTAACTCTGAAACAGCTTTAAAAACTGCAACAAGGCATCTCCAAATCCTGTGTGAACACAGAGAAAATGAGCATATAAAAATAACTTCTCTTCTTAAAATGTCTGTAAAAACAGTACAGTCTCCATCATTAAATGAATCACTGTATTCACTGAAACTAAGACACTGTTTGTAAAATGCAACATTACTTTATAGAAGTATATGGGGAAAAACTCAATTGTCACATTAAATGATCACTGATTTTAACACATACTTTGATTTCAGAGATGTTAAAAAATGTGGAAAAAAAGGTGCACCTCAGAATCAATGACATACAATACTAAAAATGTATTCCTCAGAATTATTCAAATTAAGTATTAAATACTGAGTCTCTTAAATTGACATTATTCATAGTCAGTAGCACATTCTTAAAGCTATTCATTTTTCTTCACTTCTCATTTGAAATGACGAATGGAATGGCACTTATATTCATCTCTGACAGACATCTTGCACAAACTGTAAAAATGAGGGATTCCCAGTTGAAAGTCATCTCACTTTCATTAGAGACCCAGACCAGGAGATGAGATAAACAAGGCCTACCTAAGTCAGATGACTGAGTGCAGGGCCAGACAAGGAAGCAGAGTGGAGGTTTGAAGCCAGGTCTCTAGGACCTGTTCTGTGCTCTCTTCATAAAAATCTGAAAACATCAGTAATTACCATTTTTTGATCCAACACTACAGAGTAAAACAATTAATAGAAAACTCTGTCCATTTTCAAAGATGTCTTTTTATGAAACGATTCTCAACTTCCCTGGCAGAATACTGATGATGGATAATTTGTTTGGCTAACCGATTCACGTTACTAAACAGTTTTGCTTTATCCGAATGGCACACCCAACTTCTCAAAAACAAATGCCCTCTCTGCATGCTCTGAGGAGGGGTGAAGGCCATAAAATATTACCTAATCAGCCACATGCCACCAAACACTAGCCTCACAACAGGATCCTGCTGTATGAGATCACTGGTTCTCTATGGAAGGCTCTGGGGATTATAGAACATCTCAAAACTTTTTAGCATTTGCTATACTCGGACCTAGAAATTTTGATCCTCAAAGCTTGTTGCAAATATGTTATGCTTTGCTCTGACTGGCCTCTTTAGAACTGGTGATTATTTGAGGAGTCAGTAAATAATCCATCCTCTCAAAGCATTAGTCCCTTTTGTCCTGGTTTCTTGCAAGGTAATTCACAGAGGAGTTGCCAGTATTAACTGGAGAGGATTCAAACATTAACACATTTGAGTAGGAATGGTTGGGGACTTCAGCTGTAGGCTCCATCAAAATATCTCTAGATGTCTCTATTACAGAATTCCTCATTGTATCATTCATTTCAATCACTTCAAAGTCCATTTCATTCCATTTTTCTGCATCATCTTCTTCATTCTCTTCCTCATAGTCATTGAGCCCAGAGCTAGAAAGCAGAGCTTTCTGGTCCTCACTTTTCCTGTGTTCTCTTCGCTGACGATCAAGCGGCAAGGTGGCTAATTTGTACAGCACAGGAAATAAAATAGCAGTGGCTATTGATGACCCCAAAGAGGTGTACAAAACTACAGGCAAATCAGGGTATTTGCCTTGAATAATTCCAATTACTGCAGGAATAGCCATTTCTCCCAGGGCGGCACCGACTACAAAAAATGCTGCAGCTTTCCCATGGATGGTCGTGTACTGCTCAATCCAAGACACTCCACTGGGGAATGTGGTCGCCATTGAGGCCCCATACACTGAAGTTGCTATCCACAGACAAACTGGGCTCTTGTTGAAAAGCACCAGAAATAAAGATGAAGTCAGGCTGCCAATGTTGCTCAACACAATCATGGTTCCAGGTTGTAAACATGTAGCAAAAAAGATCGCCATGCCCCTGCAGGCTGCAAAGGTCCCCCAGAAGATGGAGTTCAACCCGGCCGCTTCGCTTTCCTTCATGCCGGCATGGGTGGTTGCGAATGAGAAAACGTAAGAGCCGTATGTTACCTCAGCTCCCACATAAAAGAAGAAGAACAGGAAAAGGAGGCAGAGAAGGGCGTTGTGATATTCGGCTCTTCGAAACCTCTGAGCAGATGCTCTTGCTTTTTCCTGCTTTGAGCTTTTCTTTAAAAACAGAGCAAAGAAAAAGACAGCAACTACGAAAATATAAGCACCGATGACAGCGTAAGCCCACAGTAAATTCATATCGTCAGGTATTCCAAATAGAGATTCTGAGTCAGCTTCATATGACTGGTTGAAGGCAGATTGGTTAAAGTCAGCCTCTGTGTGGTTTTCAGCAGACACCGTCGTGCCCAATGCCAATTTAGCCAGCAATGGAGCCAAAAAGGCACCGAGGGCAAAACTGAAGTGTAAGGCCTGCATGTGTGGGGCTCCTCTGTCCCCCCAAAGAGCCAAGATTAGGACGTTACCACCTATTAATGAGAGATGGAGAATGATTTCATTATAATAACTTGGCAAAAAAGAAAAAAGTTCATTACTATCAGAAAGAAATATTTTACATGGCACAAGAATTATAATATTCTAAGTTATAAACTGCGGCAACTAAGTCAATTCTATGATTAAGGAGCTCTAACTCACCAACACTACCAGGAAACTCAGCACTGGAACCTCGCACACTCACAAACGGAATTCTACAATTTAGTAAAGCACTAACACCTAGAGCCAAGTACATTAGCCCAAGGCTTTTTACAATACAGTTCCAATACCAGGCCTGAGTACTTTGGCCACCTGATGCGAAGAGCCGACTCATCAGAAGAGACTCTGATGCTGGGAAAGACTGAAGGCAAAAAGGAGAAAAGTGCGGCAGAGGACGAGGTGGTCAGAAAGCATCACCAACTCAACGGACATGAATTTGACAAACTCCAGGAGATACCGGAGGTCAGAGGAGCCTGGTGTGCTGCAGTCCACAGGGTCACAAAGAGGTGGACACAAGTCAGAAACTGAACAACAATAACACCGGGCATAGGAGGGGTGGGGGTAGGGAAGGATATTTGTATTTACTTACTCCTGAATATTTTAAACATATATTACATAGTAATACATATTATTATATGTTATTATAATGTATATATTACATATATTAATATATATGGTGTGTATTAATATATATATATTATATAGTCATATACTATCATCATATAGTAACATACTATCATCAGATAGTAGCCAAATGACCAAATTTTTCTATACTGGAAATCAGTAGCCACTTAAGAAAAATTATTTATGTATACAGCAGATGCAAAACATATATTCAGAAACCTGAACATGACAGGATTCTGCCCATTACAAGAAACAAGTAACAAGGATGCCTTCTAACATCTGCAGTTATACTGTCTATGTATCTACAGGGTGAAGACGAGAAGCATCAAGTATTTTTTTTCTTTCTTTTTAATATATTTGCACATAAACATACAATGCTATCCTGTAATTTCACAACCAAATTAAGCCCAAAGTAAAAAATATTTCTCCAACCTATCAAATACCATGGAAGAGGCAGAGAAAGTTGGCTTTAGGGGTGAACGAATGTTACAAACGTTATTTAGTACATTTTAAAAGATAGACATGAGGGCAGAAACTTTTGAGAGAAAAGGAAAAGGGAAATAATACACAACACAGGTTTCTCTTAGTTCGAAAGGCAGAGTGCATTTTAAATTGGAGGACTGCTTCTATGTTTCCTCAGCCATGTAATGGTTCCAAACTTGGTCTCATCTATTAATTCATCAACTCCTGCCACATTACAATGACAAAGACCTATGGGGACTGAAAGCCTGCTGTCTGCACTGTAATCACCCACACCGGGGCCCCTCTCCTCTTTGGATACTGGAAATCAACAAACTCTCAAAGAACAAAACCCTCTGAATTCACTCTGTGGCTGGCTGCCCAAAAACAGGCACTCTACTTGGCAAGAAGGGTGGTAACGACTGGGAGCCCCCAAGAAAAACACAGTAGGTCAATGTCACTTTAGGGACACTGCAAGTGACAATCTAATATCATCTGCTCTTTTTCTAGTAGAAAGATGCTACTCCCAGAGATGATAATCAAGGGCTCACTGACCTGTATCCAGAATGCCAATGGAAACACCAAAGGTGGACATCATGACGATAAGTAACACTGCGGTCTTACAAAATGGAACAAGATAAAGACCAACTGTGGTAGCGAACATTGACACCCCTGAGAAGAAAGGTCAAAGACAGCTATGAAAAACACTATTTATTGCAAAGGGTCATGGATCAAGTCAATATCATAAAAACTCTCAAAATGCAAAATATGCAAAACAGGTCAAATTAAAATTGAGTAATAAGGAGTAGAGGAGAGGTTCTGCTTCTGTAAAGTTATTGCATTTAAAAGTTTTTATCATCTTTATGAACTATAAAGTATAAGCTATTCTAATATAAATACACTTCTAGTACTGCTAATAATCAAACCATACATTATACCAGAAGGCAAAATTTTATAGTGAAACAGCTCAAAAATTATTTATTTTTAACAACATAAAGAGATTTTTAGATAAAGGTAAAATATTAAATGCAATTACGATAGTAGTTCGTAGTAGAAATGTATTAAACAGTGGCACGAGTGGTAAAGAATCTGCCTGCCAATGCAGGAGACACAAGAGAAATGGGTTCAATCTGTGGATCAGGAAGATCACCTGGAGTAGGAAATGGCACCCCACTCCAGTATTCTTGCCAAGAAAACTCCATGGAGAGAGGAGCCTGGCGGACTATAGTCCATGGTAGCACACAGAGTCAGACACAACTGATCAACTGAGCACGCAGCACAAACAAATTCGTTTGAAGACTAGGGAAGGAAATGTAAGAAATACATTCAACCCACTATGGAAATCAGAAGGATTATTTACTCATTCATCAACAAGAGTAATTATCTCCTTACTTCCAAAGCAGTTTTGTCACAGTAATCCCAATTTTCTTTAATTATGTCAACTTATCCAAAAAAGAGTAAGTTAAAAGCTTTGCTATCTATTTTAAGAGTAGAAGTGGAGAGGCCTGGATTGATCAATCACAAGGAGCAGCTGGGACAAAAATTGAGCATTCATCATTTCACCCACCATCCCCTCCCACCTTTGTTCTCAGCCCAGGGTCTAGTCTGGGCAGGTCTGAGGAGTTTATTCTGATCTATGGCCCAGAAGATCTGCCCTAAACACTGACAGAGCTCTTTAAACGTGATCCAGCAGTGGTATCGAGACCACAGTGAAGGTCAGGAGGGCTAAGGATCGCTAACACACTAGGACTAATCTAAATTTTCAGAGGCATCCAGCCCAGATTCCAAGCAACTGCCAAGATGAAAGCAGGCAGCAGAGAAATCTGGCTTCCAGTGAGGATGCCTAAACACTGCTTTTAAGCTGTCAACCATTCTGCAAGCCAGTATGTTTCATATTTAAAAACAAGCTGTAAATTCCTTGAAAGCCTCAAAGAAGCTGAAATTGTCTTTTACTTACCCAAAAGGAGAAAATGATTCATGCTGTCGAAAAGAACTCCACCAATCACAGAGCCACCCAGGTATCCAAAGGCACGGCCCACAAAAATCAGAGAAAGACTGCTGATGTTGCGGTTCACATTCGTTGCCAAGTCTTGAAACGTGGGTCCCAGTATAGCAACACTCATTCCCTAAAATTCAAACAGACAGAAGTTTTTATTTACAATCATTAAAATAATGTTTATGTATGTGGTAGCTTTTTTCAGTATTAAAAAGGGAGGAAGGGACTTCAGTGGAAGGTAGGAGATTAAGTCCCATAGTTAAGATAAATTCATAATGCACCTACTAATAGCACTACTACAGCTAAAGACTATTTCTGGTGTGCCAAATCCTACGGTTTTTCTCATCTTGACAACTCTCAAATTACAATTTTAAAAAATTAATTCTTTTAGCTTTTTGCTGCAATTGTTTCCTTTTTGAACAATACCAGAAAAGACTACAGTATTTCTATTAACAGTAAAATGTAACATTTAAAACGTTTTTGAAAGTTTTTAGTAGTCTGAGACACATTGCATGCACAAATAACACAAAAATTGTGATGCTAAAAATTTAAGTTTTCAAGCCATCAAAATATTATCCCATTTTTGATGCTGTTAAAACAGCAGAATTTCTGGATGTACATGGGGTCCTTCTTTTAAATTACATGTATAAAACAAGCAAGAGAGAAACAATTTGAACGTTTCTCAATCTACATTTTTCTTCAAAGAAAACCAAACCCTCAGAGTAGTCTGTAAGGCTTTCTTAGACAATATTACATACACCTGTATGCAACGGATTTAAAAATAAAATTTTATTGAAAGACATGTAATTTTAGCAAAAATTAGGGGCTGCAACGGGCTTTCACAGGAAATTCGTTGGACACTTAAAAAGATGTTTCCAATCGGTCTCCATCTCAAGAATAAGTGGTTCTAATTGCATAACTCTGCCCTAAACGCTTGGATGTAGCCCCTCCCCAGACGGAGGCACAGACGAGAGCGAGCGCCTAATACAGGAGAGAAGGCAGCGTCCCAGCTGTAACCAACTTAGTCCCACCTGCAACGCATCGTTTAACAGGACGAGGCACGGCGCTTGCATTAACTTTTCTTCAAATACAAATACTCTAAGAATCAACTCGGCCTCACAGAAAGACACCAAGTGGCCAGAAGTGACTGCTCAGAGAACTCACCCTCCCAACTCCCCAAGACCCCAATATTTAAGACAAGCGACTAAGGGAAGTTTTCTGGATTAAGGCAACCGCCAGACGGCCAAGACGTTTGGCAAAAGGCTAAACTAGCCTTGCAGTTGTTCGAGGAAAAACATTCAAGGATCAGAAAATTTGTTTTACATAAGATTGTAGTTAGACTACGAAACATTATTCCTGGCTCAACCACTTAACCAGCTGTGTGGTCCGAAAAAGTCACTCTCCCTGTCTGGGTCTATTTCCCCATTTGCAAAAATAAGGGGTCAATTCAGTCAAACGAGTAAGAGAACCCAATAGAGCAGCTTTGTGCAGTAATTTGGCGGTTGGGTGAGCGCAGGAGATGAGAGGTTGCGCGGCTATAGACCTGGCGACCCCTCTTGCATTCCCCCAACCCCACAGAGAGGTAGACAGGTTTGCTGTAACTGGATAACATTAAATATTACGAAAATCTATTTTACGCTTGACAATATTTCTCGAAAATCGTAATTGTGCCCATTTTACAGACTGCAAAACTGAGGCTCGGGCAGGTGGATGAGCCCAAGGTCACAGAGTCTGCAAGCGGCGGAGACAAGAGCTCTGGAGGCGCGTTCTCTGCAAGAACGTCTGCCCTCGTCTCGGTTTGGGAGGATTTCAGCCCCGGCTCTCACCAGCCCCAGGAAGGCGGCACACAGGAGGACGGTGATGAACCAGCGCAGCATACTGCCTGCCCGGCCGCTCCGCCGGGAGCCCACCACTGCCTCCGGTTCATTCTCCGCCGGGGCCTCGGCCTGGAGAAGCCGCTGCCCGGCAGCCGGGGCCCCGGCCCCACAGGGTTCCAGTTCCAGCTCCATCGTGGCGGCTCCCAAGCAGCGGTCTCGCTACCGCTCGGCTTCTCAGCGGAGCCTCGGAAACTCGGCACCCTGCCCCGGCCTCGTGCCTCCAGAGCCTGCGGTACCGGCTGGCGCCACCTCCCCAGGGGCGGCCCTAGTCCGGGCGGAGGAGTCGAACTTTGGGACGCGCCGGCCGTCGCAGGCTGCGGCCGCGCGCCCGCCCCCACGCAGGGCGCCTGCGCGCATCACGTGGCGGAAATGTGGCCTCTCGCCAACCGCGGCCTCTCCCCAAACCGGAAGTTGATGTGGTTGCCCCGGAGACCGGACGTCTCTCTCAGGCCTCAGCATCACACTTAGCTGAGCCCACAGAGGCCGTGCAGGCGGGCGCCCCGCGGCGGAGCGAGCTGAAGCTGCAGCTTGGGACGAGTCAGGAGGTAAGATGCCGCCGAGCCGTCACGAGGAATTGTTGGCCGAGAAACGCCAGGTATGGCTTCGCACCCGCTCCCCGGGTCTCCTTGTGGGGCGGGTGGGGCAAAGGAAACCTCAAGAACTCTCTCTTATACAAATTTACAACAGTTCTGCCCTAGTTCCTTTGAGTTCTGTCGACTATTGATCTGTCGTTCACCTGTCACTCCACATTTGTTGCGCCACTATGTAAACTTTCATGTATGATCTTAAGTGATCCCTTTAACAACACTCTAAATTCCATACTATCTTGGTTTTACAGATAGGAGGATGGAGTCATAGAAAGTAACAACTTGCCCAAGGTCAGTCATAGAATCAGTGGCTGTTCATAAACAGTGTAACAGTAGCTCAAAAAAGAAATCTGGAGCCAAAGCTGCGGTTTCCAGCACACACTCGCCCCAATCTCCACAAATATTTCCATTGTTGTAAGGAAGTGGAACAGGGCATGGATTTGTAGAATCCCCGAATTAACAGTAACTTCCCAGGTGGTGCTAATGGTAAAGAATCCACCTGCCAATGCAGGAGACGTAGAAGACGCAGTTTCCATCCCTGGGTTCAGTAGATCCCTTGGAGTAGGAATTGGCAACCCACTCCAGTATTCTTGCCTGGAAAGTTCCATGGACAGAGAAGTTCCTGGCCGGCTGCACCCCATGGGGTCGCAGGGAGTCGGAGACGACTGAGCATGAAGCACTGAACTGGATAATACTATACCAGTGGAAAAGGAAAAACCTTATATTCTGTATCCTACTTTAGCTTTTTGTCTCCTTTTGCTCCTTGACCAAACAGGCCAAATGTGTATTTCTCTTTGTCGTCTATCTGGAATATTCTTTTCCACCTAATTAATCCTTAGCTCATCCAGGTAAACTCCCAGATTATACACACCTGCTTGTCATCATTTCCCTTGCAGCCCAGCCCCATCAATTTGGTCATTAAGTACTTTCCCCATGTACATCAGAAAGTACAGGTGCTATGACTTTAAGAGAACCTGTTTTAGATTTCCGAGTCAGGGAATATGTCTCTAAGTTTAATGGGGTTGAAACAAAAGGCGTATACATATATTAAAGAGAATAAAATATGATATGGGAGAGGTAGGTTAGGTCCAAATTGCTAAGGACAAATCCAGATCGCCTCCATTTCTTTCTCTTCTCCTGAGACTCTGAATGACTTGTACATTAGATCTTTTGATATAGTCACAAAGGTCCTTGATGCTCATGTTCCTTTTTTTTTCCTAGCCATTTTTTTCCACCTCTGCTCTTGAGTTTAGATAAGCACTGTTGATTTCTCTATCTTCAAGTATACTGCACCCATCCAGTGAATTTGTTTATTTCAGATATTGTACTTTTCAGTTCAAAATTTCCACCTGGTTCTTTTTCATAGTTTCTTTTTCCCTGCTAAAGATGCCTATCTTTACATTCATCTTTACCTCCTGGAGCATATAATAGCTGCTTTAGAGTCTTAGAAAATTCCAGCAACTGTGTTATCTCAGAGTTTGTGTCTGTTGCTTGTCATTTTCCCCTTGGAATTTGGTCACATTTTCCTAGTTTTTTTGTATGACAGGTAATTTTCTATTCTATCCTGGACATTGTGTCAGTTATACTGTGCAGACTCTGGGTCCTGTTAAAATCCTCTGGAGAATGTTTATTTAAGCAGGCCGTCAACCTGGTTATTAAGTTCAGGCTGCAAGTTTCCTATGGCCTTGTGTGGGTGAAGGTGCCAATGTCAGTTCAGTTGTCAAAGCCGGTACTGTGCTGCTCTGGGCCAGTCCCGAACATGCAGCGCTCCCGGGTTCATCTGAGACTTGGGCAGTGGTTTACCTCTCAGACCAGTCGTCTGAGCTGTTTCTGTGCTGCTTCGGGTCCCTCACATGCACAGGGGCAAACGCAAGGGGTTTAGATGGTTCATACGCAAGATTTTAGGGGTCACCTTTTCTAGCTCTCCCTTCTCCCCTCCCCACTCACTTTCCAGTCCACAGAGTCTCCATTTCTCAGTTCCTTGGACCAGAAAGATGGGGTTTCCATCAGTTTCAGTTACTCAGAACACAGCTACAAGAAAAAAAAGGCGGGGAAAGCCAGGCAGTTCATTGCCTTGCAGGTTTCTTTTCTCTAGGTCTTGATCCCCGCCCCCGCCCCTTTGTTGACTTTTAGCGGTCCTTGGGTGCTTTCTCTTTGTATTTCATCATGAGTGGAGATGGGCTGGAGTAGGCTTACGATGCCAGCGCTGAACCAGAACTCTCCCTCCCTGTCTTTGAAGAGTCAGCTGAGGTGTTACTTCCTCTAGGAAGTCTCTTCTGATGCTCCTCTTGGTCTCTGGTCTGTTTTAGTTTCCCTCTGACACATAAATAGGAAAATCCTGTGTGAAGTAGCCAGTGGCCTACTAGAATTATGCATAAATTCATAAATACAGAATTTTCCTATTTATGTGTCAACTTCCCTTTTATACTAGGAATGCCCAAAAGAAGGCTACTCTGTGTTATTTAGTCTTTAGCATAGTGCCTGGGACATAATGTGTCTTCAGTTAATGCTTGTTGAATGTAGTAGACTTTCTGAACAAGCTAACCAAAAATCTGAATTCCTGTGTAGCCATGCTACTCCTAAATGTTCTGAACATTCTAGCTTGTGTTACGGTTATTTCAACACTTATTTTTAGTTCCCTAGGAGATCGTAAGCTCAGTGAGATGGAAACTATGGACCTTAGGTCTCTCTCCCCACTGTGGCATTAAACATTGTATTATATACTTTATAAATGTTATATAATTGAGGTTTTTTGTTGTTCAGTCACTAAGTTGTGTCTGACTCTTGATGACCCCATGGACTGCATCACTCCAGGCTTTCCTGCATTGAGATTCAGTAAACTAATTTTAAAGTTAAATGTTTTAATTTCACCCTGATTAAACATCAAAATAATTTTTTTTCTCCAAGGAAGAGATCTGTTTTCTCATTCTACCCACTTCACTCCAGAAAGCAGCCAGATACTTTTCCCACTTGCCTCCAGAGGTCACTCACCACCTTTTTTTAAAAAGAGGTGATTAAAATAGGACATTGCTTCATGCGAGCTTCTCTTTAAACCATTACTGAGGATAATTTTTTTCTCATAAGACAATTCAAGAAAAATAAAAACACTGATGGGCCTTTCTTTATAAAAATAGTTTTGATTCCCTTGGGAAAAAATGGATATTTTACAACATCTATGACAATTTATGAAGAAAGTAAATATCTGGGTCTTAGTGGCTAGTAGGATCCTACCTTGGCATATTTGTGAAATAGCAACAGGGAGGCAGATTTTTCATCTTTCAACTTCAAGTTTTACTTTGGACAAGAATGAGAGGTTGGGATTATGTTTAGGGACTACATATGACTATTGCTGCTAAGTCACTTCAGCTATGTCCAACTCTGTGCGACCCCATGGACTGCAGCCCACCAGGCTCTCCCGTCTCTGGGATTCTCCAGGCAAGAACACTGGACTTTTAGGACCTATTTAATCTTTATTCTCTGGAAGGACCATCCTTTTTACTTATCAGATAAGTTTCATCAGTTCTTAAAGTGCATCATGAAAAACTAGGTGTCATCATAACTATTTCTATCAGTATACTAAATGATCTTTCTTTAAAAAGCCCAGCCTGTTAAAACCGACTCAAAGATTTAATTTCAGTAAGATAACTTTCATGTTTGTGCTATGTATTTTAAAAAGTTTGAAATAGCATTGAAAGGACCTAACATTGGTGTCTGTCTGATGGAATTAATTTATTAAAAATCAAAACTTACTGATTCTTAATTTCTCTTTAAAAATACAAACTTAAAATTTTCTTTAGCTGGATGCATTGTGACAGTTAGGGCTGCAGGATTCTCTGAATCTACTGTCTTAATGGTCTCCTAGACTGTACTGATAAAAATCTTTGCTGTATGTATTATTATTAGCCAAAATCAATATATCAGGAAAATAAAGCAACCAAAAGTGAGAGTGTGGCTACTGTGGACTCTGCAGAGGAAAACAGGCTAACATATGCACCACAACTGCTGAGCCCACAGTCTGGAGAGAGCCGCATCTCCTACGCCCCCGTGACACAACCACCGAAGCCCATGCTCCAGAGCAAGAGAAACTGGGGCAGCACAGCTGGAGCGTAGCCCCACTCACCACGATTAGAGAAAGCCCGCACACAGCAAGAGACCCAACACAACTAAATTTAAAACTTAGTGAAAGAAAAAGAAAACTTAATTGGCAGCAAAACCTGACCCAAGCTGATATGAATGAGGCTGTTAATGATTTTTTATTTACTTGGTGAGAATGTGATATTAATGTTTTATTATGTATCCATTGAGAGTATTATAAAATCGACAATATATTGCTATAGTACCTTCCCATTAAAAAAAAAAAAAAACTGGATTCTGAAACATGTGCAACCAAGGCTGCCAGAGAAGGGATTATAGACCTGTATATTCTTTTTAAAGGTGATTTTACTATTAAACATTTAGGAAAAAGCACATACACGCATACACATGCACACATACCAATTAAGCTACTACTTCTTGGAGAGTATAAAACCTTGAAGCACTTTCTATATAATTCTCAGCTGAAAAGTAGTTATTACTGGTCCCAGTTTACAAAATAAGGAAACTAAAACCAGTTAAAATGCTTAACTATTTCATCCAACCACTAAAACAGAATATCAAACAGTATTGTCATTTGTAAGGCTTTTTTAAATTTCAGGTTCTATCTGTAGATGATTGCAGATTCGTATAGAGTTGCTTTATTCCTCCTTTTAACAAATGTTTAAATGCACAGTACATTACTGTTAATGGCAGGTACCATAGGAGTTGTAGTTCTCATGTATTTTTGGAGATTGACCTTTTATCACATATATGGTTTGCAAATATTTTCTTCCATTCTGTAGGTTACCTTTTCACCTTGATTGTCTTCTTTGCTGTGCAGAAGTTTTTTACTTTGATGTAGTTGCACTTGTTTATTTTTGTTCTTCTTGCCTGTGCTTTTGGTGTCATATTCATGGAATCACTGAATTCATGG